TCCTTTTGAAGGATTTTGAAATAGTACATGCTGGTCCTACTGATCTATCTATAAATTTTTGCGACATCCATTTTTGGAAAATTGCTAGTATGTAGAAAGTAAAGTAGTGGACCTAGTATGCTTCCTTGAGGCAAGACTGCTTTTATTTTTCTCATTTCAGAATATTGATCATCTTGTTTGATTCAAAAATGTCTGTCTGTTAAGTAGGAGGTAATAATATCTGCGTACTGCTTCGGTAGCGTCCCTCTTAGTTTACTCATAAGTCCTTCATGCCGGACTTTGTCAAAAGCCTGTGAAACATCAATGAGACTTGTAATCTCATTTTCAGTGATTATGCAAGGCAGGTACGAATGTATCTGTCTCTCTCGACTGGTCTGTCCTGATCTTATGGGATGACGCGCCGAAGGACCATAGTCTAGTTTGGTACACCTTGCCTCCTAGCGATTCAAAAGCATAGCTGGTGGATGATTTTGTCTATAAGGTCAGCTCACAGAAGTTTGTCTTGTTTCTAAACAAGCCTCTATTAGGATTTTAACGAAATTATTATAGAAGTGGAGGAATACTGAATTAAACAGGGGATAAAGTGATTCACGCGTGTGATTCGGTCCTCGGCCAATTTTGATTCATAATAAATGCTTTCTTATCGCAAAGTGACAAGCGAAGAAAATTCCGACTGGCCGTTTTGAATTGAATGGGGGAAAAGACGAGAAAGCAGGGTCCCATTGAAAGGAAGCCTATTGAAGATGCACGGCCTGCCTCGGGGGTTGTATGAACGCGTGTATGAAAGCCGTCCAGAGGTCGAACTGTTAAAAATTCATAACGCAAAGGGACACGGTTGAAATGCCAATATCCGACATGTGCACGACCGTGTCTTGTATCAATATTTCAAACCAGGTTACTAGTCCTGGCATTCAGACACTAATTAGTAACCGGACGCGTTTTACTTTTTGTACGTCAAATTTGGAAACTTTTTCCATTTCACCATAGAAATTTACGGTATATTCTTTGTTTTTTGACAAAACCGTACAATATGGGTTAATGCGGACGTTAACCCAAGGGACACCTAAAGCCGTCGAAGCCCCTACCCCGCGGTCACTCATTATCATAACACTCCTTTCACGGGGCTAAAATCCCTTATGCTTTCGCATGAATAATATTACCGTTTGTTAACATGTTTCTAACAAGAACTCCTCGAGGGTCTTCTTTCCTTTTGCGACGTGTTCTCTCAATCGAGCTGAACTCGACTGGACTCCGGAGATAAAATTCCGCCGTGAGCTATACCGCCTAATCTAGGCTTTTAAGCGTGCTTTGTCCAACGGTATTTCTTTTTAAAGTCAGCTTGTAAACAAGCATTCCGAACGATCTGTAGTCTCTGGGATTAGACAAAGAAAATTTATCAACATGACTAAGTTACATTTCTTTTATATGATGTGTACATGACAAGATATACATAAGAACGTCCGAGTCTTGACACGTTACGCAAAAATTAAATTAATAATAATTTTATTTGTTGCACAATAATTATAATCCATTAGCTTTCGTTGTCCAATTGACCAAATAACATTTTTCAATTAATTAATCTTTATTTAAGGTATTGGTTGAAGAAAAAAAGCCAGTGTCACGAGCGGGATTCGAACCTACGATCTTCGGCTAAATATGCCGCTGCTCTACCCCTTGAAATATCGTGACTTTTTTATCTCAACCAATACCTGACATAAAGATTAATTAATTGAATAATTATAATGGTAAGCACATTATTGCGTAACCCGGTCTTCTCGAAGGAGCCTGTAGTTGAGGTCGGAGTAGCATAATGTTATATTAGCATAATATGAAATCAATTATTCATATGTGGTTTACAATCAAATTAACTGTTTCCCGTCAAATTAACCTTTCCCCTCTCAAAATAATCCTTTTTATTTAAAATTAACCATTTTTCATTTCAAATTAATCATTTTAAATTTTAAATTAATTTCAAATTAACCCTTTTTAACCTTAAATTAACAATTTTTAACTTCAATTTTTTCTTTATGCATTAAAAACAACATAGGTATGGGTATGATAAGGTTGTAAAGTCAAATTTCAGTACATTTGATAATTGTTTTTAATTAATCTGTATTTAAGGTATTGGCTGATATAAAAAAGTCAGTGTCACAAGCGGGATTCGAACCCACGACCTTCGGCTAAATACGAGTGGATCGAAGTCACGATAGCTCAAGTGGTAGAGCAGCGGCGTATTTAGCCGAAGGTCGTAGGTTCGAATCCCGCCCGTGTCACTGACATTTTATATCAGCCAATACCTTAAATACAGATTAATTAATTGAAAGATATTATGTTGTTAAGCGGACCATGAAAACAAATGAATTGTTTTTAATATAATTATATAAGATTGAAATTAAACATGATATAAAAATAAAATATATTTATTTTGAAATTAAAAAATGAAATCTTTTAGGCTTTTATAAAATACCACATGTAAAATAATTACGATTAAAATAAAACAATATTCTTTCTATGTAAGGTCTTGGTTGAGATAAAAAAGTCAGTGTCACGAGCCAGATTCGAACACACGACTTTCAGCTAAATACCGTGGGTTCGAATCCCGCTTGTGACACTGACGTTTTCATCTCAACCAAGACCTTACATAGAAAGAATAATTAATTGAAAGATTGACCACTTAAACATAAATGGATATGAAATTATGTAAAATTAAAAAATAAATGAATGGATACTAGTTTTATTTAATGGTTAAAGCATTTCTTAACTAAAATGAATTGTACAGGTGTATTCAGGATTTTTTGCTTTTCGTGTTACTTCATCGTTGAAATTTCTCCCATAAAGCCCATATCTCATAAAATATTGAGTTATTAGGTTAAAATAAATATCCTTATAAAATATTGGCGAGGTTCAATATTGAAAGTATAAATGATATTTTTGATATTTTGTATTTAAAAAAAAATTTCAAATTAATTATTAATTAATTTGACCGTTATTTAATTTTGATATGATTTTAAAAGCCCAATTATTTTATATTTAAAAATTCTCAAATGAACCAACAATCAAATTAAAATCATAACAATTTATTTTTATAATATTATTTTGATATAATTTTTAATTCTAATTGTCAGATGCTCCTTAAAACAATAAAATAATAAAAAATAAATAAATAATTGTCATTAATTTTCCGTCGTATGGTCTTTTGAGTTCAGGTTTTTTTTTCAAAGATAGGATTTTTTTAGGATTGATACATGTACAGGCTAATAAAAGAATTTAACTAGTAATTTTACAAATATGTCCTATGGCAATTAATTAATATTATTAGTTATTGCTAGTTTATTTTAGTTTGTTTTAAACTTTATTTCCTAATTTAAGATGAAATATTAACAGGAGGAAAACAAAAGAGAATGGATTTTATTTTATATCATTGTTTGCCTATGTTTTCTTATCACTATGGTCTTTTCTTCTTCTAATTACTTTTATTGAAAGGCTTTTTGGTGGATTATATAAAATAGTCGACATCATTGTTGGTTCTATTCAGACCCAAATTATATATATAAAAAAATGTTTAAAAAAAAATCTTGATATTATAGTACTTGATTATCAATAACTTCTTATTGTATATAGTTTCTTCAAAAAGGGTTGTATAGACTTGGAAATATCGAAAAAATTATGAAAATTGTTCGAATAAAGCTATAATTTTTAATATTTTCATTCTGGAAATAGTTTTTTTTTTAATTTATTTTTCCGGATGCTTAGTGCATATTGAATTCTCTTCTAGGTTTGGCGTGAAAGTCTTTTAAAGGTTCTTTAACTTCATTCAAAGCGTTCCTTGAATGGATCGATTTTGTCGCCTTTCTGCAAAAGAAAAGATCGCATTGAATAAAAGCAATCTAATTGCGTATTGTCCAGCAATAATGGCCTCTTTTGAGTCGGTGAATCGTAGCCCGGGGAAAAGCCGGCCGGCAAAAAATTGGACACATGAGGCATTCCTCCGGGATGGATGGTTTCCGAGAACTTTGGGTCCATGGGCGACTCATTAGCCACATTTGGCGCTTAGGAGGAACGAAAAGGACCTTACCGAAAAAACAACAACTTAAAGCTCAAGAGTTCAGAACGATTTTGGATAATCGAAAGATTAGCATTTACTGTTCTCAAGCGTAGTTGCTAAACCATGTCTTGAGCTATATTTTACGTTTTATTGATGATCATTTTGTTTTTGAGTCTGATTTATTTTAAACTAAACAATGGATGCTTGACCAGTTTTATTTTTTACTATAATTAAATACATGTTTAATATTTTTTATGATGTATTTAACTCCCAAAAGCCCAGAAAACGTAAGGAAGAGGTCGAAATACTTAGGCAAAAAAAAAAAAATACAAAGCAAATCTTGGGGCGATTATGTTTTTTTATGGGTTCAAAACACCAACTCTGGATATAAAAGTCAAAAATATTGTATATCTATTTTTTATAAGATTTAATCTTCTCTGAAAACAGATATAAAAAAATCGAGTTAGAAAAGCTAGAAAAAGGTATATGCCGGTTTGTCAGAAAACAGCCATTTTGAAAAGAATCTTTCGCAAACTACAGTTTTAAAAAAATCCTGTTTCATTCCAAGAATTTAATGCTGAATAAACGTGTATTTTATAGGGGCGATTTTCGCGAGTGCAAATTGTTGAAAATTAGCCGGCCATAGTTGTCGAGGCCCCGTCACGAATTCGAGGGTGTCCCAAATCGCCGTCACCTCTTTTCATAAATATTCCCAAGATCACGAGACCCAGGATATTTTCCAGGTCCAACCTAAAATATTAATAAAATATTCCGGCGAGGAACAAAACAGAAAGCCCGAACACGATTTAACGAAAGTTTGTATTTCCGGCAGAGGAAAAACAAAAAATTATTCTGTTAACGCGTTCTCCTTATTTATTACATATCTTAATTTTATTTTTACAACCTTACTATCAATTACAAGCAAAATTTTAATAAAACTTTTTTCTTTTTGCAGGCTCCGAGAACATATCCAATTCTTCAAAAATCTACATTTCCTAGAGTAAGTATTAAATATTGACTTTTCACGCTACTAAAAATCAATTTGTGAAAACAAAACTCCATCAAGGGGAGCAAATAAACCAGGATTTTTACTTTACTCGCTTAAATTTTATACCTTCTCCTAGTTTTTATGTTCGAAAAGAGAGGTAAATTTTAAAATAAAAAAGGGTTAATATGAACGTAAACTAATTAATGTAATTTGAAATTAAAAAGAGTTAAATTAAGCTATAGTGTAAAGAAACAACAACTAATATAAATCTAGCTAAACGCTAAAATAAAATAAATACAACACACAAGAAATTAAAAAGGAAAAGCTAGCTAAATTGTTTAAATAATAGCTGCTTGAAAAAAATTAATTACAATTCAAATAAAAAATATTTAAATGAAGAGTTATTCTGTATTCCGCATATCTTATATTTCCTGCCACTTCATCATTCCACCACTTTTTCCCATAAATTCGCAATATCTCATAGAATATTAAGTTAGACTTTGTAAAATGTAATTATTGTATAATATAAATATACTGTATATTTTAAAAAAATTCAGATTAAAAGACGGATCATTTATTTTTATATTTCATTTTATACGATTTTTAATTGTAATTATAATTCATTTTCAAGTATTTTATGTTTAATATTTTTTCAAATGCAGGAATTTTATTTTATGTGCTTAAATTTCATACCTTCTCCTGGGTTTTTATGTTTTAAAGACGAGGTAAATTTCCAAATTAAAAAGTGTTAATATGAAGGTAAAAAAAGGTTAATTTGAAATTAAAAAGAGTTAATTTGAAAAGAAAAAAAGCAACAGCTAATGTAAATCTAACTAAACTCGAAAATAAAGTGAATGACACAAGAAATTAAAAAGGAAAAGCTAGCTAAATTGTCTAAATAATAGCTGCTTGAAAAATTATCAAAATTAAAATTAAAAATGATAAATATTTAAATAAAGGTTTATTCTGTATTCCAGGTATTCTATATTGCTTTTTACTTCAACTTTTCACGACTTTTTCCAATAAAGCCTCCATATCACATAAAAATAGATAGTTATTAGGGTCGAATAAGTATTGACGTCTGTTACGAGTCACCTTGTATATAATATCAAAAGCATAAATATAAATTTTTAAATTTATTTATTTTAAAAAAAAATTCAAAATAAATTAAGATTTCGTCATGTTTATATCTTTTCCACTATAATTTTTTATTTTAATTTTAATTAATTTTTGTATGGTTTTGAAGAGACCAATTAAATAGAATTTAAAACAAAATCAAATTAAAAGAAGAATACTTTATTTTTTTTTATCTAATCATTAATTTTTGATATAATTAATTTTCTATGATCTTCTAAGAGCCCAAATACGATATGTTTTTTATATTGAAGGAATTTTATACCATAACGTAGTTAGTTTTATGGTTTGAAGGAGGGGTTAATTGTACATTAAAAAAAGGTTTGTTTGTAAGTAAAATTATTAATTTGACACTAATAAGGGTTAATTTAAAGGAAAAGATAATTTGCAATTAAAGAGAGTTAATTTGATAAGGAAAGGTTATTTTTTAAATTAAAAAGGGTTAATTTCAAATTAAAAAGAGTTCGTGACGGGAAAAAAGTTTAATTTAATGAAAAAATCTATAGTATCAAGTAATATGAACTAATGTGTAAATTTTAATTTTAAATATAATTATTTTTCTCTAGTCTTCTAAGATCCCAAATTCGATGGTTTAATTTTTGTTTTATATTGGAGGAATTTTATACCACACCCTAGTTAGTTTTATGGTTTAAAGAAGAGGTTATTTGTAAGTTAAAAAGGTTAATTTGTAAGTAAAACTTATTTGAAATTAATAAGAGTTAATTTAAAGAAAAAGTTAATTTGCAATTAAAGAGAGTTAATTTGATAAGAAAAGGTTAATTTTTAAATTAAAAAGGGTTAATTTCAAATTAAAAAGAGTTCGTGACGGGAAAAGGTTAATTTAATGAAAAAAAATCTATAGTATAAAGTAATAAAAACTAATGTATAAATTTTAATTTTAAATATAATAAATTTTATATGGTTTTCTAAGAGCCCAAATATGTTTAACTTTTTTATATTGAGGAATTTTATACCATACCCTAGTTAGTTTTATGGTTTAAAGAAGATATTATTTGTATGTTAATAAGATTATTTTATAAGTAAAACTTAATTTGAAATTAATAAAAGTTAATTTAAAGAAAAAGTTAATTTGCAATTGAAGAGAGTTAATTTGATAAGGAAAGGTTAATTTTTAAATTAAAAAGAGTTCGTGACGAGAAAAAAATGTTAATTAAATGGAAAAAAGCTATAGTTTAAAGTAATAAAAACTAATGTGTAAATCTAACTAAGAAACATAAATTAACAAGACATAAAAAGTAAAAGCAAGGTTGAACTGTCTTCTAATTGCTGCTGATCCACAAATACGGGATGAAACCCAGATTTTTGGGTACATTAATCCCATATCACGTTATTTTATGATTTTATCACTCCTTTTATCACCAAATATATAGATTTATAGTGTTTCTGAATGGAAGAAGAACAAACACAGCCAACAATCCGGCTGTATATGAATAGACGTCAAACATATATATCAAAGTATTGTTTTTCGAATAAATTTCATCGTCGTATTATATTTAATAAGTCCGTCCCGTTATGACCACTTGTCTGTTTTAATTATTGCTATTGGTTCAGAATGTGATTTTTATTGGCTTAGTAGATCGTGAGGGAGCCGTAAATTTGAAAAGTTCTTCAGTTCCGAGTTGTACCGCCCTATCGGCACTTTACAGATCGTCGAATTACACGGCTCAAAACGGCATTAAAAATGGCAGATTTACGACGTGGACCTCTTATTCTTTCAATTTACAAAACCAACTCAGCTCCTAACTTAATTACAATTAAACAAGAAATGAAAGAGCTTCTGAACATAACGGTTGGCAATTAACGCAACGGGACTCTCGGCACAAGCCAGCCTTATGCATATATCATCATGATCGGTTCATAGATATTTTTTTAAGTTTTAGTTTCCTACTACAATAGTTGTTAAAGAAGAACTATACTTTTTGAACTAGATTTTGCTTGTTCCATTGGGAAACATTCCAAACATATTTACCATATGATCCATTACTCTCAAAGTAAATATTTTTAAGAATTAAAATTACACCCTTCAATCAATTGAAAAATAGTTTTCAATAAAAAGAATCTACAGTGATTTTTCCCTGGTTATTTTTAATGAATTGAATTCATTACTTTGTGATTAATGACTGGTTAAAACATAGCCGACAGTTTGACAGAGAATTTGTCTCTGTTAACTACTAACCGGTCCCACCAAGCGGAAAATATTTAATTTGCTTTGAATTATTACAAATTAGGTGGCATTAGTTTTATTTTAATTCATGATGGGTTATTAATTTGAAAGCACTAAGTTAGGAAGGACTTGACGTCTTATGGCCAAAAACTGCATAAAAGAGATAATTAAATCCGTTCATTTCCAAATCTATAAATAATTATAATAAAGATAAAGTCAAGATTTTTATTGTCACCTTAGAGTTTGCGGTTTTGCATTTTTCCAGGCCGGCTCGAGTTGTTAGTTATGCTCTAACATCCTCTAACCCTTTGATGGAGTTATCGCAAAAACCGGTTTTTCATTTTCATTATAAACTTTTTGACTGTTTGCAGGTCGGAGTGGATTATATCTATTATTTAAATACGGGTTTATATACCCCCCGGAAGATTAATTGTCGGAGATTTTTCCATTTTGATTACATCCATCACGTGCAACGGTGAGACCGTTAGTTTTTTGGAGAGATCTATTAAACATGTCTGTTTATTCAGAGCACGACTGTCTTGTTTTAAATATTGTTTTTATATTGTAAATAATACAAAATCAAGAAGTCACATAGCTAGCTTTTGAGTGGGTTATTTGGAAGAGTGAATGTTACAAGAGTTTATAATGGGTGGGAAGGATGGAGTGGTTCTTGGCCTGTCAATGATGAAAAAATGTTGACGTCGGTGTGTATGCTGAGATTGAATATGTTGACAGGTCCACTATTTTTCATAGGGCCATGGATTGGTTCTGGATTCTAAACGTTCAGTTATGTCCATATTGTCATAATTGTATGTAGTTGTTTGTTAATCAAGTCCCAGGCATTTTGTATGGGGTTAACTAGAAATAGTTCAGGATAACGTAAAGGATACGACGGTAGTGGGGAAGAAGGATGTTCATTTAGAAAGGAGGTAGGTGTTAAAGCTAAATATTTACTTCTAGTCTCGTCTATCTTTCACTTTTTATATCACTCTTACAGCAAGGAATTGTGAGTTTGAAAGGTCCTGGAGATGACGGAATAGGAGGAAAGGTTGTGTCAGCAAACCTAGATATAACTATCGGAGTTTTAGGAATATCATGGGTGTATATTGAGTAGAGCATAGGACCTAAGATACAACCTTGACGGACACCAGCTTTAACTGAAAGATGGGAACGAATAGTCCTCGCAAACCTACAATTATCTGTTGGGAAGGATGCCCTTGAGCTTAACTAGCACACCATGCCACTTTATGGACCGAGGTCGTTGTGAATGATGAGATCGGATATGTAGAAAGTTTTAATATTTTTTGGAAGATCTTGGGTTTAGAAAAGAATCAGAAGAATAGCTGTACCAGTAGTAGATTGTTGAAGATGTAGGAATGTAGTGGATAAGGAATTGGACTTCACAAACCTGAATTCTGTTAGGTAGAACGGCCTTTGAACTTAAATAGCTCTATAATGCCACAATAATATTCCGGCGCAGTATTCTTTTTTAAGGTCGAGTTCATGTGAATCTATTCCATTTGGTCAGTACAATGTCTTTCTTAGCATTTCACTTTAGCAGTAAAATAACGAATATTTCAACCTTGGTAATGCCGTCAGCCGAGTTGTGTTTCGCAACATACAAGGTATAATTTACAATCAAGACGATAATCCGTTAAAGTCGGAAAATACCTTAGGGGCGTGTTTTGAAAAA